AGTTGGCCACTCTTTAGTCTCATCCACCGGACTCGGCACAATTCTTTTAGATAGGAAACCAAACCATTTATCCTTAAACCCAAGTCGAATTTAATAACCCATTTAGTCAAGGACTTCAAGAAATATAAAAATTGGTTCGAAGGTTTTGAAAGACAGTTTCGTCTCTAAGTGAAACCTAGAGGGAAGAGGGAGAGACAGAGAGAGTTGGAGTGAGATTCCGGCGAGCGATTCCGGTGAGTTTCGATAAGTGTAAAAGCTTTTCTAATAATAGATTTCGGTGGTTGTCAGAGACTTAGAGTAAGAAGCTGATCTTCTACTTTGTGGCTTATTAGAAAATGAAATACGTAAATATTTACAGTGATACACAAATTGTTCAAATAAAACAAGAATTCTACTAGATAACTACCATAAATATAATATATTACTTCTAAATATATTTTAATATGACTGAGCCTTACTTCGAAGTCATTTGGCCCGTGAAAGAAGAATCAACAAGATCGAAGAAGACTGGAGAACATCTTCGAGTTCGAAGAAGATCGCCATTGTTCGAGTTTGTTTGCGGGTGCCGGAGATGCTGCTGGTTCACCGGAGGAGAGCCGCTGTCCGCATATGGAAGTCGCTGACTGTCCGTTTGTCAGCCGCTGGTCGTCGGGGAAGAGATTGACGTTGTCGGTCGGAGTTCAGTGTTCGATGGAGCTGTTAGGAGGGAGTCGATGTTGCTGATCGTAGAAGCAGCCTGAAGCTGGTTGCCGTCGCCGGTTGGATCACCGGAGAAGAAGCCGCTGCAGCCCTGGGCTGTTCGCCGGAGTTGCTGTATGTCAATCGGAGCTGTGCGGAGAAGATAACCGGAGAGGAGTCGCCGACCAGCTGTCCGCCGTGAGTCCGGGGCGGAAAGAGTCGTCTTCGCGGTTGGAGTTTGAAATAGACACTTAGTATTCCAGTTTTAGATTCTTTGTTTGTTTGAGTTTTCATTATTCTAACTAATAAAAAAGTAAGGGGAAAAACAGTTAATTTACGTTTTATGTTAATTAGTTTTTTTAAAGAGTTTTTTAGAAAAGTTTTTTTCATTTTAATTTTATTTATTTTTTATTAATTTTTAAAATAAATGATTTATTTTATACATATAAATATATTTTTATTAAAGTATTTATTAATTATTTTTAATAAATTTAATTTATTAAATTATAAATTTATTTTTTTAATTTAAAATTATTATTATTATTATTAATTATTACATATAAATTATTTTATTTGTAGAATAAAATTAAATCAAATAAAAAGATAAATATTACTCCCTCGGTCTCACTCTGGGTCACTGTAAACACGAGGATATTAAAATTAAGATAACTAATTAGTTTAAAATAAGATTAAAGTGTATAATCATAAGATGCAGAACTGATAGAAACGACAATGTGAACATGGTTGGTGGGACAGAGGGACTATTAGTTAATATTTATGTAATTTATTATATAAATTTTATATTAAAAATTAATAAAACAATAATTAACATAATAAAAAAATATATAAAAGATTTATTAATTTAAATTTTACATAATTTCAATAAAAATTTATTTTTTAAATAAAAATAAATATTTATACTATTATTTTATAATTTTCAATAATTAATAATAAAAAATTTCAAAAATTTTAAACTAAAAAAATTATATATTTTAAAAAATACATATAAATATCTTTAATTGTTATTTTACGTATAAACAATCAATGTTAAACGGTTGTTTTACCAAACACTTTAATACAAATAACTAATTGAATCAGATAGTCAAACAAGTTAATTGATATTCAACTAACAGTTAAAAACTATTACATAATTGTCAAACACACTCTAAGTCAAATTATTACTACATTGTTGTGACAATTAGAGTAATTGTAACACTTAAAGACATTAACACATTTTTAAAATGTAAAGGATCGAACTAAGAGCATACGCATTGGTATTATTGAAAATAGCCTTTTAACAGCATAGATCACATGTATGCTAATGCCTACAAAATTATTTTAACTAATTACATTAATTATATTAATTAATAGAGTAAATTAAAATATTAAATTTATAAGTATTCAACACACAATTCAACATGTTATCCATCGCCGTCTTTTAGCGTGTCTAAACTCATTCTTTTTTTCTCAATTTATATAATTATTTTTTTAAAAAAAAAATAGTTAAAATAAACTCAATAACCGTCCTCCCTCTCCCGATCCAAGATCTTCTCCCAAACACTATCAAAAATTCCACAGCAATAACTTCAACGGCAGCGGAGGACGACCACGACGGTGGTCTTCCTTATTGTTTCTGCTTGCTTTCGCCTTCCCATTTAAGCCTCGAACTACGGCGGCAACAGCGGACAACTACGACAGCGGCAGTGGTGGATGATCACAATGACGCGGCGATGACAACAATCTTAAGTTTGAAAAGAAAGAGTGAACAAAGCAAAAGCATAGAGAGAGAGGAGAGGGAGGGAAGAGAAAAAGCCAGAGAGAAGAACGAGGCCTTGATCACCTATGGTCTACACCAAATGGAGCATTTCTTATAGTCACTTTTTTTATTACTTTTATGATTGTCTTCTCAATTTTTACTGTAACAAGCAGTTACATTTCTCATTACCTTCACGAAGAAATACAGTTATTCAATATTTATTACCTTTATCAAGAATCGATTATCTTCGACGAGAAAGAAAAAAGTAATTAAATATTATTCAAAAAATTTGAAAATTCAAAATTTTAGATTTTAAACTTAACGGAATATTTCATATATATGTTGATTTATTCGAATAATTTCAATTTTTTAAATAGTAAATTGTATGTTTCAATATATTGAAATATATAAATTAATATTTAAAAATTATATTATATTGATAGTTGGAAATCGCATGCATTTTATATTCATGTCATATGCAATATTTGGGTGAATTTGATTGGATTCTAAATAATTTATATGCGAATTGTTTATTTGTTGTGTGCAGAGGGAAAATATTAAATTTGACATAATTGGCAGAAAAAGGAAATAAAATTAATTAAATACCCAAAAATCCATCTACAAAATAATTAGGGCAAAAATCAAATAAGAAGAAAAAAGACGCGCCTATTTGGCAGGAGAGAACGGCTAGGGCAGATACGCACAGGAGCAGGAGACTGACAGACTCATAGATCGCGCAGAAGCAAATCGATAGAGAAGATTTCCCCCATCCACTATGACTTTATCTTTCTCTTTTGTTCTTTGTTATTTGATTATGGAGTAAATACTTTTCTGGTTTGAGGGGTGATAATGTTTTGGTTATTTTGTTTTGGAGATTCTTGATTTTTTTTTATAAAAGTTCTTTTTGATTATCAATATTTGTCTAATTCTAAGAATAACGTTTGTGATTGTTAGATTGATTGAATATTTTGGTACGGATATTTAAATTAGTCTGATAATCTAAAGTCAATTCACATAGGATATCCGTAATTGTATTCGCACTTGAATAGGTGATAACTGGGTTGAATAGTTCCTTCCCGGGGGTTAGACAATCAAATCTAATTGCTCATCCTAGGTAGTAATTGTTTTGAATTGGATTTTTCTAGATTGGAATGCGGTTAGGCAACATCCTTATGAGCGCACCTAGGTTTATTTGCTTAATTAGGGGTAGTTAACAGTCGCACCTTAATTACCTATACTGTAAGGAAAAATTGGTTGTCAGAGCTTGTTGATAACTATAACCAATTTATTGATACTTTAATAAGAATTAAATTTATTGAATTAATGATAAAACACAAGTGTCATAACTGCATCATCCCTTGAGCCAGACATCTCCTTGATAGTCAGTTCCCTTTTAATTTAATTGCTTTGTTATTTTATTTTCATTAATTAATAAAAGAAAAATCCCCCTTTATTTACTGCATTAGAATACGAAAGAGTGAATCACACAATCCCTGTGGAGACGATCCCTTCCCCTGTATTACATTAAATTGTGATCACGGATTAGGCGAAATATTTGATTGACTGCGCGACAGGTCAATTTTTGGCGCCGTTGCCGGGGATTGGCGCTTTGTTTTACTCTTTTGTGTTATTTTAATTTATCCTCTTGTTTATGCCCCGTTCTTCTCGTACAGGTGAACTGATATTTAATCTTAAGATCGAGAAGGTTGAGCGAAAGCTACGAAAGGAAGCCAAGCAACGAAAAACTGCTCAGGTTGCGAAGCTGGCAGAATCTTTAAACCACCTCAAAATCTCTAGCTCTAGCGACTCTGAAAGTGATCAAGAGACTGTCATGACTGAGGATACCCGCACTTTAAGGGAGTTGGCTGCTCCCGACTTGGCGCAGCAGCCCTTATGCATTAACTTTTTCACTCTGAATAACACTATTGCTTTTGAACTGAAATATGGACTAATTCATTTATTGCTTTCTTTTCATGGACTTGCAGGTGAAGAACCTCACAAACGCTTGCAAGAGTTCGACGTGGTGTGCTCCAGCATGAAACCACCAGGTGTTACTGATGAACAGATCAAACTCAGAGCCTTCCCATTCTCGCTTAAAGATGCTGCAAAGGATTGGCTCTACTATCTCCCACCTGGAAGCATCGACACGTGGAACGACATGAAAAAGAAATTTTTGGAGAAGTACTTTCCAGCTTCCAGGGCTGCCATTCTGAGGAAGGAGATATGTGGCATCAAGCAACAATCAGGTGAAACGCTCCATGAATATTGGGAGCGATTTAATAAGCTTATCATTAAATGTCCACAACATCAAATTCCCCCTCAGTTATTGATTCAATACTCTTATGATGGTTTGTCGTTGATGGACATGAACATTATTGATGCTGTAAGTGGTGGAGTGTTAGTAAATAAGACGCCGGCACAAGCTTGGGATCTTATTGCGGGGATGGCTGAAAACACGCAGCAATTTGGTTCAAGAGATGTTGGACATATAAGCGGAAACAACATCGACCATGCCATCTAATCGATACAACAACAACTTTCTGAGTTGACGAGCTTTGTTCGCAAGATGGTCGTGGAAAAATCCAACCCGAGTGTCCAGGTCAAGGCGTGTGGAATATGCACGAGTGCAGGACACTCTACAGATGCATGTCCGACCCTCCAAGAAGAATGTGCAGTGGATGTGAACACTGCAAACTACTGTATGAATAGACCTCCAGCGTACAATCCATACTCCAACACCTACAATCCAGGCTGGAGAGATCATCCGAACTTGCGTTATGGAAACGCACAACAAGGTAATGCTCATCAACCATTTGGAGCTATGCAGCAGATGCAACAACCTCGTTTCTATGAGAAACAACCGCCCCAAGCACCCACAAGCAACTCCAGTCCATCTTTAGAAGACTTGGTGAAGTCTATGGCTACCAGTACCCTGCAATTCCAGCAAGAGATAAAGTCAACTGTCGACAAATTACAAGGTCAGATCAATCAAGTGTCAGAGGAGGTGAGACAGCTACGTGAAAGAGGAAAGTGGCCTGTTCAGCCTGAGCCAAATCCAGCAAATGTCAGCGCCATCACTATCTGCAGTGATACGATGATTGAATGTTCCTTCCGGCCTAATCCAAAGAATACGAGTGCTATAACCCTTCGTAGCGGAAAGGAATTGGAAGGTCCACCTCCTATCTCGAAGGGACAGAATGAAGATCAGATTGAGATGGAGATTGAAAAAGAAGCTGAACTTCACGAAAAGGTACTTCTTGACTCTGTTCCTCCTACTGAAACTAAATCAGCTCATTTTCCTGACAGGTTGAAGAAACCACAAAAGGCAAACAAACGAAAAGAGATGATGGAAATATTCAAGAAGGTGGAACTTAATATCCCGCTCCTGGAAGCTATCAACCAAATCCCCAAGTACGCAAAGTTTTTGAAAGAACTGTGCACGAACAAAAGAAAATTGCGAGGGGACGAGCATATTATAGCGGGTGAGAACGTTTCTGCTGTTATCAAAAGAAATGTACCACCTAAAACAGGTGATCCAGGTATGTTTTCTATCCCTTGTAAGATTGGAAAAACTGAGATAACTAAGGCTATGCTAGATCTAGGAGCTGCTATTAATGTCATGCCTCGATCAATATACGACTCTTTAAATCTAAGGCCTCTAAAAGAAACAGGAATTATTATTCAACTTGCTGATCGAAACCCATGCTTATCCCGATGGTATGATAGAAGATGTATTAGTTCAAGTGAATGAATTAATTTTTCCTGTTGATTTTTATATTCTTGATATGCATGATGCACATTGTTTTAATCTGCTGCCTCTTTTGTTAGGAAGACCTTTTATGTGCACTGCAGGAACAAAGATAGATGTTAAAAAGGGCACACTTATCTTGGAGTTTGATGGAGAAGAATTTCATTTCAATATTTTTAATCCCGTCAAAATGTCCTGTTGAATCTGAATCGTTATATGCAATTAATGTTATTAATTCTGTGGTGCAGGAAACTTGTGAAGTTGATAATGAGAATAAACAAAGAACTATGTTGACAAAATAGTTAGAGAAAAGACCAACTGGAGAGAGTAAGAAAAGAAAAAAGATTGTCGAAAAGTGGAGATGGATTCCCAAGGGATCACCATTGATGGCAGCAAAAAAATGTCATAAGGAGAATCAAAATTCTAAGCCGAAGAAAAAGTGTGTGGCCAATAGACATCGCTTCAAATTATACCACGAGGGACCCTCACTTGATCCTATAAAGTCGGCACCCGTTGCCGATTTCGATGTTCAGAATTGATGCGAGGCGAAGTCTAGCTCAAAGACTATAAAGAAAAGCACTTTTTGGGAGACAACCCAAATCATTTAATTGCTTTTTTTAATTTTATTTACTTTTATTATTTAATTGCTAATAATCGCGAACGACGACCCCGTCAGCCGCTCACGGAGCCGTCGCCCAGATGAATTTTGGGATCAGGGGTTCGCGCACGGGCGCTGACGAACCCGCGTCATCGCGGGAAGTCGAATAAGCCTTATCGTTTAGAGAAAGGAGAATTCGTAAAATGAATTCTATAAGAGAACCTGCGAAAGGATCATTGTCGATATTTGCCACGGCAGCAACAACGAACTCCTGACCCGACGTACGAATGCCGCTCAGGCCGTCCATCGTGACAGAGTAGGCGCCACGAGTTCCAAAAAACTTTTTCATGGATTTTCGTGCACTTGTAGGCAGCAAAAATGAGATTCCCTGCGATCCACGTTGCAGCCAGGAATCGCGAACGACGACCCCGTCAGCCGCTCACGGAGCCGTCGCCCAGACGAATTTTACGAACGGGGGTTCGCGCACGGGCGCCGACGAACCCGCCTCATCGCGAGAAGTCGAATAAGCCTTATCGTTAAGAGAAAGGAGAATTCGTAAAATGAATTCTATAGGTGAACCTGCGAAAGGATCATTGTCGATATCTGCTCCGGAAGACAACAGCGAACTCCTGACCCGACGTACGAATGCCGCTTAAGCCGTCGATCGAGATTGAGTGGGCGCCATGCGTCCCAAAAAAATCCTGCACGGATTTCTTTGCACATGAAGGCAGCAAAAATGGGATTCCCTGCGATCCACGTCGCGGCCAGGAATTGCGAACGACAACCCCGTCAGCCGCTCACGGAGCCGTCGCCCAGACGAATTTTGCGAACGGTGGTTTGCGCACGGGCGCCGACGAACCCGCGTCATCACGAGAAGTCGAATAAGCCTAATCGTTTAAAGAATGAAGAATTCGTAAAAAGAATTCTATAGGTGAACCTGCGAAAGGATCATTGTCGATATCTGCCCTGGCAGACAACAACGAACTCCTGACCCGATGTACAAATGCCGCTCAGGCCGTCGATCAAGATTGAGTGGGCGCCATGCGTCCCAAAAACTCCTGCATGGATTTCTTTGAACATGTAGGCAGCAAAAATGGGATTCCTTACGATCAACGTCGCGGCCAGGAATTGCGAACGATGACCCCGTCAGCCGCTCACGGAGCCGTCGTCCAGACGAATTTTGCAAACATGGGATCGCGCACGGGCGCCGACGAACCCGCGTCATCGTGGGAAGTCGGATAAGCCTTGTCGTTTAGAGAAAGGAGAATTCGTAAAATGAATTCTATAGGTGAACCTGCAAAAGGATCATTGTCGATATCTGCCCCGGCAGACAACAGCGAACTCCTGACGCAACGTTCGAATGCCGCTCAGGCCATCTATCGTGACAGAGTGGGCGCCACGAGTCCCAAAAAACTCCTGCACGGATTTCTTTGCACATGTAGGCAGCAAAAATGGGATTCCCTGCGATCCACGTCGCGGCCAGGAATTGCGAACGACGACCCCGTTAGCCGCTCACGGAGCTGTCGTCCAGACAAATTTTGCGAACAGGGGTTCACGCGCGGGTGCCGACGAACCCGCGTCATAGCGAGGACTCGAATACGCCTTATCATTTAAAGAAAGGAGAATTCGTAAAATAAATTCTATAGGTGAACTTGGAAAAGGATCATTGTCGATATCTACCCCGGCAGACAACAGCGAACTCCTGACCTGACGTTCGAATGCCGCTCAGGCCGTCTGTCGTGACAGACTGGGAGCCACGCGTCCCAAAAAACTCCTGCCCGGATTTTCATGAACTTGTAGGCAGCAAAAATGGGATTCCCTGCGATCCACGTCGCGGCCAGGAATCACGAATGATGACCCCGTCAGCCGCTCACGGAGCTGTCGCCCAGACGAATTTTGTGAACGGGGGTTCGCGCACGGGCGCCGACGAACCCGCGTCATCGCGAGAAGTCGAATAAACCATATCGTTTAGAGAATGGAGAATTCGTAAAATAAATTCTACCGGTGAACCTGCGAAAGGATCATTGTCGATATCTGCTCCGGCAGACAACAACGAACTCTTGACCCGACGTACGAATGCCGCTCAGGCCGTCTATCGGGACAGAGTGGGCGCCACGAGTCCAAAAAAACTCCTACTCGGATTTTCGTGCACTTGTAGGCAGCAAATATGGGATTCCCTGCGATCCATGTTGTGGCCAGGAATCGCAAATCACAACCCCGTCAGCCGCTCACGGAGCCGTCGCCTAAACGAATTTTGCAAACGGGGGTTTGTGCGCGGGCGCCGACGAACCCGCGTCATCACGAGAAGTCGAATAAGCCTTATTTTTTAGAGAAAGGAGAATTCGTAAAATAAATTCTATAGGTGAACCGGCAAAAGGATCTTTGTCGATATCTTCCCCGGCAGACAACAGCGAACTCCTGACCCGACGTACGAATGCCGCTCAGGCCGTCGATCGAGACTGAGTGGGCGCCATGCGTCCCAAAAAACTCATGCATGGAATTCTTTGCACATATAGGCAGGAAAAATGGAATTCCTTGCGATCCACGTCGCGGCCAGGAATCGCGAACGATGACCCCGTCAGCCGCTCACGGAGCCGTCGCCCAGACGGACTTTGCGAACGGGGGTTCGCGCATGGGCGCCGACAAACCCACGTCATAGCGAGAACTCGAATAAGCCTTATCGTTTAGAGAAAGGAGAATTTGTAAAAGGAATCCACTAGGTGAACCTGCGAAAGGATCATTGTCGATATCTGCCAAGGCAGACAACAACGAACTCCTGACCCGATGTACGAAGGCCGCTCAGGACGTCGATCGAGATTGAGTGGGCGCCATGCGTCCCAAAAAACTCCTGCACGGATTTCTTTGCACATGAAGGCAGCAAAAATAAGATTCCCTGAAATCCACGTCGCGGCCAGGAATCGCGAATGACGACCCCGTCTGCCGCTCACGGAGCCGTCGCCCAGATGAATTTTGCGAACGGGGGTTCGCGCACGGGCGCCGACGAACCCGCCTCATCGCGAGAAGTCGAATAAGCCTTATCGTTAAGAGAAAGGAGAATTCGTAAAATGAAGTCTATAGGTGAACCTGCGAAAGGATCATTGTCGATATCTGCTCCGGCAGACAACAACGAACTCCTGACCCGACGTACAAATGCCGCTTAAGCCGTCGATCGAGATTGAGTTAGCGCCATGCATCCCAAAAAAATCATGCACGGATTTCTTTGCACATGAAGGCAGCAAAAATGGGATTCCCTGCGATCCACGTCGCGGCCAGGAATCACGAATGACGACCCCGTCAGCCGCTCACGGAGCCGTCGCCAAGACGAATTTTGCGAACGGGGGTTCGCGCACGGGCGCCGACGAACCCGCGTCATCGCGAGAAGTCGAATAAGCTATATCGTTTAGAGAATGGAAAATTCGTAAAATAAGTTCTACAAGTGAACCTGTAAAAGGATCATTGTCGATATATGCTCCGGCAGACAACAACGAACTCTTGAACCGACGTACGAATGCCGCTCAGACCGTCCATCGGGAAAGAGTGGGCGCCACGAGTCCAAAAAAACTCCTACTCGGATTTTCGTGCACTTTTAGGCAGCAAAAATGGGATTCCCTATGATCCACGTTGCGGCCAGGAATCGCAAATCATGACCCCATCAGCCGCTGACGGAGCCGTCGCCCAAACGAATTTTACAGACGGGGGTTCGTGCGCGGGCGCCGACGAACCCGCGTCATCGCGAGAAGTCGAATAAGCCTTATTGTTTAGAGAAAGGAGAATTCGTAAAATAAATTCTATAGGTGAACCGGCAAAAGGATCTTTGTCGATATCTTCCCCGGCAGACAACAGCGAACTCCTGACCCGACGTACGAATGCCACTCAGGTCGTCGATCGAGACTGAGTGGGCGCTATGCGTCCCAAAAAACTCCTGCATGGAATTCTTTGCACATGTAGGCAGCAAAAATGGGATTCCTTGCGATCCACGTCGCGGCCAGGAATCGCGAACGATGACCCCGTCAGCCGCTCACGGAGCCGTCGCCCAGACGGACTTTGCGAATGGGGGTTCGCGCACGGGCGCCGACGAACTCGCGTCATAGCGAGAACTCGAATAAGCCTTATCATTTAGAGAAAGGAGAATTCGTAAAAGGAATCCACTAGGTGAAACTGCGAAAGGATCATTGTCGATATCTGCCAAGGCAGACAACAACAAACTCCTGACCCGATGTACGAATGCCGCTCAGGCCGTCGATCGAGATTGAGTGGGCGCCATGCGTCCCAAAGAACTCCTGCACAGATTTCTTTGCACATGAAGGTAGCAAAAATAAGATTCCCTGCGATCCACGTCACGGCCAAGAATCGCGAATGACGACCCCGTCAGCCGCTCACGGAGCCGTCGCCCAGACGAATTTTGCGAACAGGGGTTCGCACACGGGCGCCGACGAACCCGCCTCATCGCGAGAAGTCGAATAAGGCTTATCGTTAAGAGAAAAGAGAATTCGTAAAATGAATTCTATAGGTTAACCTGTGAAAGGATCATTGTCGATATCTGCTCCGGCAGACAACAGCGAACTCCTGACCCAACGTACGAATGCCGCTTAAGCCGTCGATCGAGATTGAGTGGGCGCCATGCGTCCCAAAAAAATCCTGCACGGAGTTCTTTGGAATGA